CATCACCGACGCGGTTTCCTCTTCCCCGCGACACCCGCACCTACAACGCGGTATCCCTCTTCTCCGCGCATCCCGCACCGTCAATGCGGTTCCCCCGCCCCCGCGCATCCCGCACCTACAATACAGTTCCCCTCTCCCCGCGACACCCGCATCCACGACCTCGCGGTCAGGCCAGCTGAGCGAGCGGCTTTTCGCGGCTTTCCCCTCCCCGCGGACCTAGGCCATGAACGTTCTGAGCGGCTTCCCCCTCCCCGCAGACCCCCCGCGGACCGTCCTGCTCCTCACCCCCCCTCGGAGCTCCTGGGTTAAAACCCGCCTATAATAGCTACTGAGGACGATCCAAAAAACTGGAGTCGCAATGGATAGGACCCTACGTAATTTTACAAAAGCATAGCGACGTGAATTTCACGATAAAAATGAGAAGGAGGATGCTACGCGTACACGCGAATAGAATTAAACACTTTATCGAGATCTAGCAAGCAAAAAACAGAAGCATAGCACCGCAGAATAGAAAGGTAGCAATAAGCAAAAATAGATAAGGAAATTCGTAGAAAATAAAAAAGGATACTTACATTAGAGTGAAGAGTACGGTGGGGGAAGCTCCTCTACCGTACGGCGGCCCATCCGCACGTCAAGCGTGATACGCAACCGCAGGTCCGGGACAGGGGACCGCGGCGTGAGGGCCTCCTCAATCCTGGCCGAAATCGCCCGACGCGGCGGTGGAGAACCAGGCGGGGTGCGAGACAGCCGCTGAGCGACACCCAACCAGTACGTGCGTTGGCAACTGTCGCACGTACTGGGCGCGAAAAATCGGTCGCACCAAAAGCACCTCATAATCCGAACAAATTTAAACGGCACAAAAATAATAGAAAGCGAGCTCATTAAAGGCTCGGAGCAGACTGGTCGCTCGCTACGGAGAGAAGCGACCAAGTAACAAAAAATTGATAAGGATTCAAAGAATAAGCAATCCTTACCTTGCAGGTTGCTCACGACCTGGTGCCCGATAAAGATGACACCGGCACCACTACACTCTTACCACCGGGAAAGTTTCACACACCCGGCATATATTATGAAGAGATCGGACAACTCAATCAAGCTGAGTCCGTGTGGAGACTCCCCCACCAGCACACAAACGATGGGCGAACGTTCGGAGAACGAATTCTCGTTTAAAGCGCTTGTAATCGTTCGTCCCTTGAACTAACAGAACGAAAAAAATGTTGGGTCGTCTAGAACACCACCAGAACGTTCAGAGGTCATTCGAATATCTTTGGCTTATAATTTTTGCCCGTTATTTAATCTTATCTTTATGTGTGAAGGTGACTCTTATATTATACTATTTTTCTATTTTAGGAAGTTACATTGTTAATATATTTAATCGTTTGTAAATATTTCATTAAATTGGTTTTAGTGTATAAAACCATCATGTCGCGCCATTTCGCACCTATAACGTTGTAACACAGCAACGCTGTTTTCGCGCCGTCGCATATATGCTTGAGAAACTCGATCCAACAATGCATTCATTTATGGTGTTTATGCAGTCACTGCCGCAGATATTTTATTTTATCTTTGGTTAATAATTTGATGAACAAGAAAGATAAAATAATACATCCCATTTATATAATTTATATCAAAATTATTGATTCTGCAAGCTGAAGACTGCCAATTCTGACTGCCAATTCACAGTGAGCCAATCATAATGGATCAGCTTCATTATGATAGGTTCATTATGAATTGGCAGTTAGAATTGGCGGGCGTTAGCTTATGTAGAGTCGATAGTCTGATCGGGTTTATCGCGGAACGTTGATTTAATGCAGGTTATGTTAATTGTGAGACTTGTGAGTTTCCGAATTTACGGTACTTCAATTTAATTTTTTTCTTAGAATTATCAAGGTAAGTAGTACGGTTCAAATAATAAAAAGAAAGAAGCCTTAAATCGATGGAATTTTATTACATGTGTGATATTCAGTGCCAAAACTTGCATGTATATAGCACATATTTAATTGCTTCAATATCAGTATATGTATGTACAATTAAGGCAGATGAATTTGTTGAATTGAAGATGAATTTGACAAGTATTTTTTTACTTTACTTCTCAGCGCACGCACATAAAAAAAATATATATACAGGGTGTCCGGTAATAACCGCCCAAAATCTCGTGGACTGGAAGAGCAGATTAAACTGAACAGAAAAGTCCTCTACCATTTTGCAAAATTCGCAATCGTTAACGAGATATTAATTTTTGATGATTGGCAAATAAACGTATTGGGCGGCCATATCCCGCCGCGTTGCTAGGCGTGTGGGGATAGA